AAATAATTATTATTGGAAGTAACAGAAAAGCCTAACCAAAATGAATAGGTAAGAAGGTTTAATGAAGTGGGAAAAATGGAATGCTTAGAAAGAGTAAAGGTTTATTGTTGTTGATAGCTCAGAAGAGACCCCCATATTCCCAGCAGGCTCCTGGGATATGATGGGGTGAGGGTGCCAGTCTAGGGAGGACACATGGCATAGAATTTGGTGGAAGGGACCACATGAGCAGCAACAGGGTGAAGGTGAACTGGAAAAGACCCAAGAATCTTCAAGGGTGGAAACTCCATTCTTAGATAATGAAAACCTATGGCAGGGGGAATGTACCTGGGCAAGCAGAGTGATGAGACCAAGAAGCAGATTAAGTGTGAAAGCTACAAACGCAGACTCAGACGCCATAATGCTGAGGCAAAAACCAACACTTCTAGACTTCCATTGCTTGTAAGTCATACTCCCAGATGCCTGGGCTCTGAAACAAGGAGTCAATTTAACATTTTCTCCTCTCCACCCACACAAGCAAGTTCTGATTTTTTCGTAGCTCACAGAGATGCTTTCCACTGTTTCCTTTCCGCTATTTTCATCTCATCAGCTCACTCCTGGCACTGGAGACTTCCCCAAGGGCATGCCTTCTCTCATCCTTTCACCTGCAGTCCTTCTATAGGAGTGCTCTCACGATTTCAGCTTTGACTGCCTCCTTTTAATCCCTATCATCTACCTACAGTGTTTCCCAAACTTCTCTCATGATGAGAATCACCTGGTGGAGTTGTTAAACTACAGATTCCTGAATCCCAACTAAGAAGTGCTAAACTAGAATTTTTGAGAACATTGTATACAATTTTACCTATATGTCCCCAAAAATTCTAGTTTAGCACTTCTTAGTTGGGATTCAGGAATCTGTAGTTTAACAACTCCACCAGGTGATTCTCATCATGAGAGAAGTTTGGGAAACACTGATCTACCAGGTAAGACTGGTCACAGCTGTACCCCATCTAGCCATCCAGCCACCTCCATCTGCCTCTTTCTTCTGTTGCCCCCACGGCCACTTCACTTCCCTCTTGGCCTGCTCTTTCCATACATTCCAATCCCCGCTCTGCAGCATGGACCTTCCTGGTCCTTGACCACTCTCCTCACCTTCTCCTGCCTCACACAATATTCCTGTATCTTTTAAATCAAACTAAACAGTACTGTGTTGTTATTTATTTTTTAAATACATTTTTATTGATTTCAGAGAGGAAGGGAGAGGGAGATAGATACATCAATGATGAGAGGGGATCATCGATAAGTTGTGTCCTGCACACCCCCTAATGGGGATCACCCTCCCCCCATCCCCAACCCTGGCATGTGCCCTGACTGGGAATTAAACTGTGATTTCCTGGATAATAGGTCAACATTCAACCACTGAGCCACGCCGGCTAAGTGTGTTATTTAAACACAGACCTAGGGTCTATGGAGGATCCTAAATCTAATCTAGATTGCACCGATTGTTTTACTACACTTAGCCCCACCTCTGACCTTCTTTGTCATCTCCCTCTAAAACTATCAAAGTATACTGCTGCTTGAAGTTGGCACCTCCTGACCAATTCTAGTTTCTTTTGCAACTTTGGGCAAATACTTAAACCTCTCTGAGTCACATGAATACTACTTTATAAGGAAAAATAAGTAAAATGCCATATAGATTTGTCATGAAATGAAATGACCTATTAGAGAGCTACATACACAATAAATTCTAAATAAATTATTACCATCATCATTAATATTTTGTCTGAGGATCAATTTCTGGGAAAAGTATTTCAGTTACTCATGGTCTTGCAAACATGCAAACACACAGAATTGGTTGTCATAAGTACCCATGCACCTGTTAAGACTTGTCAAGTTTCTTAAGTGATATGTTCAGGAAGCAAGACCCTCTGTCTGCATTTGGTGATGTGGAAAATAAACTCAAAAGACTTTTATCTTGACTTGGTTAAGGCATTTTTTGGAAATCATTTAAACCTTCATGTCCTCCTCTGTAAATTAGGATAATTATATCTAATTTGCACAATTACTTGTCCAGCTTCCTCTCCTTGACCCTAGGGGGCTTTGATCCCTCCCCATATGAGAGCCCTTCCAGCTCTTTGTCTGCACCCCAGTCTTTCTTCATCAATCTCAGCACCCCTTTTTCTCCTGCCCCATTCTCCTCTTGGTGTTTCCATGAGTTTCTTCAAAGACAATTCTTCTTCATGCCAGGTACTCTGCCTGAGCCATCTGGTGTGGTCTCTTGACCTCAATTAGCATTCTCTATGCTGAAGAGGCCCCATAGACCTATTTCCATATTATCCTCGCTAGATGTATCCACACAGATAACTACAGGAACATCCTGTAGACCACATACAGAGTGGTCTACCTTCCCAAAATTGGCTCCATCCCCATTATTTCCTTTATCAATTAATAGTATTTCTTAGTTACAAAAGTGTCCATCTTCTTTCCTTTCTATTCAATTCTTTCCAACTAACTTTCATCTTATTAACTGAGCCTGACTCTTTAAGTATTTCTCCAATCTTCCCTATTTTCTCTCCACCACCTCTCACTTAGACTCAACAGTAGCTCTATCTTGTTTCTCAGCTTCCTCTAAGCCTCCGGTCATATTTTCCATCTGTCTTTCTAAAACAAATTTGAACAAGATATGCCCACACCTTAAACCTGCCAGTGCTTCTCAGATCTTCTACCACAGCCTTCCCACTGGCCTTATCTATACAAATCCAGCAACTCTGAACCCCTCCTTAATCATCCTTCCAGTCTCGGGGGCCTCACACTCACTGTGCCTTTGCCTGAAGTACCCTTTCTTTCCTGCTCTGCTTATCCTAATCCTGTTCTTCCTGCAGGAATGATGCCTCAGACTCCATTATTCTCAGTCCCAGCAGACATGGCTCTCCACCTTTGGTCCTTGGTCATACTTGGTTCTCTGGGCTGACCCTGCACAGCTCTGCTCTCCTGCAGTCTAACTGGGCACTTGTGTGGCCATATTCCTGGACAAGACTGTTGGTTTCCTCAATGCCAGAAAGACCTTTCATTTATCTGTGTTCACCCAGAACTGTAGGTCCCACTGAATGCTGAAACATGTAGAGGCCTTTATTTCTGAGGACTTGGCGTTGAAACTCAAATGAGAGTGTATTTTTGAAAGAACAGTGTGAACCAAACCGCAAATATAAAAACCATAAATCTCTCTCTGAACCAAAATAACACCACTTCGGGGTGAGTGAAAATGATGTACTTCCCGGAAATCAGACTTATTCTTAATTCATAAAGACTGTTTAGGACTTGGAGTGGAATCAATAGAAGCCAGATTGTATTTTGCTTCCTGTTTTTCTGTGCTCCGTTTATGCAAATGATGTTAAAATACGTGTTTAAAAATAACTTCTAATGGGCTGTCTCAGCAATAAGCAGCTAACAGGCACAGAAAATATCCTAGGAATCCAATAGATTTTAGAGCATTTTTTAGACACATGGGGGGCCTGGAGGGTTATAACGGCAGGAAGGTGAGGAGGCTTCTATGAACTGGTTCACACCATGATCCCAGGGCTGCTCAGGAGCCTGAACTGCAAAAAGCTGAGCCCAGAATCAGAGGCCAGCTCCTGGACAACCTCTGTTTGGATCCAGACATTAGCATGGATGTAGAGTCCTGAGCAAAGTGCTACAACCAGCATTGCCGGATTTAGCGTACATAAAAATACAGGACACTCCACTATTGTAAGAAGCATGCTTATACTAAAAAAGGATTTGTTTATCTGCAGCTCAAATGTAACTGGACATCATACACTTTATCTGGCAAGCTACAATTCAAATGATTAATATCTCTGAATCTGACGTTAGTGACTCTAGGGATTTTGGAAGAATTAGCGTGGGCTTTCTTACTGCAAACTAGCGATTTTCAACCCGTCTGCTGCAAGAATTTTTAAAACATGCAATATCTGACTAGTCTGGGGCACTGACCTCTTTTCCCTTAGATTGCCAAATAAATGACAACAGCCAGCACCATAGCTGTCCCCTATGAAAGAATCAAAATTAAATCTATTTTTTGTCAGATTGGCGAATAATATTTTTGGTGTGCTGCAGAATCTTAGTCATTAGTTTACATGTGCCCTGTGATGAAAAAGGTTGAAAATCGTTGTTGTAAACCACCACAGAATTTAAGGCCAGAGAAACCGGTGGTGGGTCGCCACCTAGTGGAAACATTGTGATAGTGAAAGCTTAAGTTAGAGAGGGAGACATTTTTTTTAATGGAGTCTGCAAGCAAGGATTCTCCCTCTGGTCAATTGCAAAACCCTGAGCTTGCACTATTGAGAGGATGATGAAATCAAGAGGATGTGTACATTCCAATAATCATGGCATCTAGAGGTCCAGAATGCCCTCCCTCCCTCTGCAATGGACACTGTGGGACTATCCGATGTGGGGTGCTAACTATATATAAGAGCATCCACTTCTTAGCATCCCCTCAAAAAAAAAAAAAAAAAAAAAAAAAAAAAAAAAAAAAAAAAAGCTATGGAGAGACTAGCCCCAAACGCTCAGTTTCTCCTCCAGCAGGAGAGACAGGCCAGGGAGAATGCCACGTCCATGTGATCACGCCCAGTGGTGACCTCATCTGGGACGCTGAGTGGACACAGTGAGGGGACTGGAGCTCGGTGTGTGAGTGGGGAGACATATAATTACAGAGAGAAACCAACAGCACACTAGTTTACTGCTTACAATGAACACTCTGGCTCATGTGCCTGGTGAGGCAAGGAAACAACACAAGCTGATACAGAGTTCCGAAGTGGTACCGGCCATCACCTTCTTCAGAGCCGACGCCGTGCAGAGGTATGGAGAGCCGGTAGGGCCAGCCCCTCCCTCCTCACACCAGTGCCCAGCAAGATGAGCTCACACAGGAGCATGTCCCAGTCTTTCCTAATGCTTCTGCCACCATCTCCCTGACGGTGGGCACCCCAACCCTCTTCACCCAGCAGCCTGTCTGATATGTGGCCCCAGGACTAGGGGTCATGGCTATTCTTGTCTTCCTCTCGGGCCTTCTCAGGTGCCAAGCGCTGCTCCACAATGGCCATGGGCTGCTCACTGGGGGCCTTGCTGGGTAGAGGCCCAGCTCCTGGCCTGGCCCCGTCAGGCAGCCGGCTGGGCCCTGGAGAAGGCTGCCTGCTCACAGGGTGAGCATAGGGAGCCGGGAACAGATCGGAAAAGTAGCCTTCCCCTCCTGAGGGGTGCCCCAGAGCTTGGGAACAGAAGGGACCAGGGAAGGGCAGTTCTGGCAAGCAAGGGTCATTCCAGGGCACTGTGCCTGTGGGGTGAAAGGACACAGAAGCGATTAGACGGGACTGAGGCACCAGCCACAGTTCAACATGTGCTGTGAGCATCCCCCGCCTATGACACACAGGCTAGGACCCCAGGAGCTCCCCTGAGGACCAGGCATGCTCCAGACTCGCGCCTGAGCCTGGTGACAGGGACACAGGGCACCATGGCAGCAAGGAGACCCAACCCCCTGGCCACTCTTCCCCTTCCACTGGAATGTAGTCGTAAGATGGCTGTTTCCAGGTTCTCAGGGGCCCAGTGGCCCATCAGAACACTGGTATTAGCCACCAGCTACTCTGTGCCAGGCACGGCCCTCATGTTATTTCTCCTCTGCATCAGGTGCCTCCATGCCATGGGAGTCCTATTCCCATTTCTGAGCCCAGGAAACTGAGGCCCAGGAGAGTTGGAAACAGCTAAGCTGGACTTCACATTTTGGTTCCCTAACTCCAAAGCTCTCTGGCTATCTCTCTCTCTCTCTGCTCTGCAGCCTCTGAAAAACTTGAGGACCAAGACCCCTGTGGCAAGAAAAAAGCTCCCCTCGCATCATACCCCACCCCAGCCTCCTTGGCAATGAGGCCTTCTGTCCCTTCTCCCCTTCCCCAGTCACCAACGGGACCTCCCTTCCAGCCCTGACTCACCCATGCTCCCAGCGGGCGGCTGCAGCAGAACCTGCCCTGCGGGGGGCGCTGGGAAGTAGCCCTGCGAGGCGCCCCCTCCGGGGCCGTAGGGCGGCGGGAAGAAAGCGTCCTCAGGCAGCGGGGGCGTCAGGGAGCTGGGCGCGGAGAAGGGGAAGGGATGCAGGTAGGAGAACTGGGGCTGCGGCTGTTGGAAAAGCTGGGTCTGCGGAGCCTGGGGGACCTGGAACAGCCCCGGCTGGCTGCTCAGCTGGTAGTCCTGGGGTTCCAGCTCCTCCAGGTATGAGCAGGTGGGGGGTGGGGTGACACTGTGAGGACAAGGAAGCATTTTGTGAGGGTAGGGGGGGGGGAGGGAGGGCTCCTCATTCTGACCACACAGGCCAGTGTCTTCTCACCCCTCTCCCCACCTCTAGGCCCCACCTGCCGCCACCTCACCTCCGCTTCCTCAGCTCCCAGCTTCCTGCTCTGCTGCTGAGATATCCTACCCTTTCCACTCCTTTCCCCCTCTTCTCACTTTCTACTCGTTGCCCCTGGCCATCCCAAGCTTCTCACTTTGCTCTGAAACCCCTCGCAAGATATTAGCTCAGCGGCCACCCCCACTGGGTTCCATACCTTGTCCCACAGGAGCCATCTCTGTGGCTGCTGTCACTGCCAAATGTGTCCATCAGCAGAGGCATCAGTTGGGGGGTGTGCACAGGGCCGAGGGGGAAGGGAAGGTTGGCCCTTCGGACAGGCGGGGGGCTGAAGAGTGGGGGGGTCACTGCCGCCCTCTGAGCCCCCTCGCTCGGCTGGGTGGGAGCCAGAGTCTGGTCAGATGTCAGAAGCATGGGGGGCTCTGGGAGCGGAAGACATGAGGTTGTGATGGTGAGAGAATGGGGAGGCAGACTTGGGGTTGCTGGAAGGTAGAAGCGCAGGACAGCAGAGAGCTTAGGGCCACGCTCATGCCTAGCAAGCCGCTCTGTCTTCACCCTCTTCCTGTCATCCCTTCCCTCCCCCAGATAATCCTCAGAAAGGGGTCAGCTCACCCGGCAGGATGTCTAGAGGGGGCTCCGAAGGGAAGGCGCCAGGCTCCGGGTCCATGGGCACAGCAGGTGGCAGCTCAGCAGCAGAGCTGGAGGTAGACAGAGCGATGGTTGTGCTTTGAATGGCCCCTAGATGTAGATCGGGGCCTCGGGCCAGGAAAGGGACAGACTCTGCCTCCCTCCAAGGCCCCGGCCGCTGCCCCGTCCCATGCAGCCAAAGCCCGTCTAAATGCTAGCCAGCAGCTCCAGCTTCAGTGCCCAGACTTTGAGACCCGGGTCCCAGCTTGGGCCCCACTTCCTACCTCCAGGAATGACCCAACAGGAGGAGAAAGTCACCTGTCCTGGCCGCTGGCGGGGGCTGGACCTGCAGGGCTGTCCTTGTCCTTCTTCCCATTCAGTTTCTCCACTTTCCGCCACTTGGCCCGGCGATTCTGGAACCACACCTGTAGGGAGAGGTGCTAGGAGAGCTTGAGAAACGGGCAGAGTCTCAGACGGGCCCTGGCTATCTCGTGAGGAGCTGCCTCACCACTACGCTGCAGACGCCCGCCCTGGTGTCATAACAGGTTCCTCTGGGAGCTTTCTCAGGCCGTGGCAATGTGAACACGGCAAGAACACAGCCTAGAGCTGTGCCCCAGCCCCGAGCCAGAGGTTCTCCTCCTCCCATCCCTGCCCAGCCCCCTTTACCATGATGCGCTGGGGGGTGACCCCCACGGTCTGGGCAATCTCCCGGCGCTTGTCACTGTCAGGGTAGTGGTCAGCTTGGAAGATCTTTTCCAGCTCCTCCAGCTGGTCTGGAAGGACAGACTCCCATGAATACAGACCCCAGGGATGCGGCAGGGAAGAAGGACACCTGCCGGATGGGAACACGGGCCCAGCCCAGGGCTCCCCGTCTCACAACTGTTTCCCACTGGGCTGGGCCTTCTCTTCTCAGGCTTGGAGGTGGGAACTAACCTTTCCAACCGGTTTTCAATTTCACTTTCTGGTGCAGCCCTAGCCCCTCACCCCCTACCCCTGAGAGGCCGTGGCCCCGCCAAGGCCAAGGCCAAGGGTCCAGGACAGGCAGTGTGCAAGCTCACCACCCTCCAGTCCCCTGGCCACGCTTCCCGCTGAGCGCACCTTCCCAGAGATGACACCAGACCTCAGGCTTACTCTCCCTCAGGGCTCACCTGAGCGGTACAGGGTTCGAGTCTTTTTCCGAACTTGGCAGGTTGCTTCCAGGGGCTTCTTTTGGTCTGTGTTTTGGCTGTTCTGGGCCAATGTGCTGAGGAGGTTGGCCAGATGGCAGGGCCCCCTGCCTGACCCACAGGGCCCTGGGTTGTTGGGGTCACGGGCTGAGTTGGTGACGTGGGGCGGTGACGTGGAAACTGGACCCGGGGCGGCAGACTTCTGCTTCCCGCAGCTCGGAGAGAAGGACCGCTTCCCCGCCTTGGCCTCTCTCCTGGGGACGGAACCCCCGTCTCCCGGAGGCTGGGGTCGGGGCGGGACCAGAGTTCTGTCTTTGTGGACAGAGCCCGGTGGCTGGCAGTTGGGGGCCTGCGGGGGTGTCTTCTCTCCCGAGACAGCGCAGGAGGAGGGCGGCTGCCCACGTGGGCCATCCTGAGTGGCAGGGGCTAGACCCCGCGGTGGTCCTTCCTTCTCCGACCCCGCAGCCAGGGGCTTGCCTCCACCTTCCCGGCCTGTGGGGAGCCAGCGCTGTAACTGGTTTCTGGTTTGAGCTTACACTTGACTGTATCCAGGTACAGAACTAGCTCCAGGCACGCCTTCCTAACCTGGCTATTGTGAGATCAAAGCCACTGCTCTAAGGGTTGTCTGCAACTCTAAGGGCCTTGGCTCACCTACAGACGGTAGAGGGTCTCCTAACAGGGGGACTAACTTCCCGTGAGCGCCCTGCTAGTTTCCAGGCACCTGGACGGTGAGTTTGAACAGAAACGCAACTGTTCAGCGTTTCTAAGGGACAGATGTTGGGGTTGGGGCAGACTGGGCTTGTTTCTAAAACGAGCTTTTGTTCCTGCTGTAGATTCAAACATTATGTCTTAGAGCAGGGCCAGGGCGACGTTGGATGGCAAAGGAGACGACTGGAACGACCCCTCACCTTCCACAGAAGGCACTCTGCCCTGCCAGCCCTCCTCACATCTGTCCGTACCCCTGTCCCTCCCCCGCAAGCAGAACCTCACACAGGGGGCCAGGCCTGGGCGCTGCCTCACACACGGGAGGGAGGGTTACTCTGTGGACCCTCTCCGAGCCCGGCTGCCTGTCCTGAGTCTGCCTGCTCTCCAGGTGCGCCCAGGCCCTGTGCCAGCACCTTCCATAGACCAGTGGCCTGGTTCTGTGCATCTACTCCTGCAAGGGAGGCACATCTCACGGGAACACAGATAAGAAGGTGAGTAATTTGCCCAGATCATAGGGCAAGTGCTCCTAACCTAAGCACAGTCCTCCCACCCCCCAAACCCTCCCCAAAACATCCCCATTACTCAGAACCCCCAGAATCCTCCGCTCAAGGTGCTGCTTCATCGTTTCCAAATAAACTGGAATGTTTACAAATGCATACTAACTAGTGACTTAGTGCTATTGTTATTTTGGTGAAATTGCAAGAGATAGAATGCCTTAAGGAATGGCTTTCCCGGAGCGTGCTGGTTTTGCAGCACTTTAGGAGAGCTGGCAGCCCAGCACACCTGTATATAGTAGGTGCTCAATAAATGCCACGGTATCAGGTAAGAAAGGTGACGGGTGTTGGGACCTGGACTAGAAGTCCCGGGGCTCCGGCCCTGACTTTTCTCCGCGTGCAGAGAGCTGGGGACCCGGTGGAGTGGGGCGCAGCCCTCGGCCTCCCTCTCCCCACTCCGGAAGAGCCTCCTCAGGTGGGAGCCACTGAGCCCCCAGCCCGTCCCCCTCCCCCGGCTCACCCCGCGGATCCTGGCGGGGCTCCTCGGTGGGTTCCATGGCCTGGACGCCGCGGCGGGGCCGGCGGGCTGCACAGGCGCGGCCTAATGAAGCCTCGCGGGCTGGCAGGTGTGCGCAGCGCGCATGGGTGCGGGGAGCCCGGGCCTGCGCCCCGCCATCCGCCGGGGAGGGGCCCTCCCGGAGCCGGTGCGGGGGCAGCTGCAGGGCAGGGCGGCCCAGGCTGGGCCGGGCCCTGAACCCAGGTGCGGCCTCGTGCGGCGCCCTCCCTCCCCTCCCCGTGGATTTAGCGCCCCACGCGGGGCGGGGGCGGGCCTGAGCGGCTGCGGGGTTGGAGAGACTCACCTCTGGCCCTGGGGACTGGCCAGGCCGCTGACACTCATGACACTTGGCCTCGGTCATGGGCCTGGTCGTAGCTTGAGTCCCGACACAGACCTTCCTTGTGACCTGTGAGGGTGGCCGCTGGAGCCACTCAGCAGAGGACTCCCAACGCTGGGCTGTTCCTCCTCCGGGGTCCCTACCCTCAGGCTGATGAGCCCCAAGATCCTGCAAGGTCCCGCGCTGCAAGGTGAGCCAGCGGTGGCGGCGGGGGGGCGGCCTCGCGGGCATAGGCGGGTGACCGGGGAGGCACTGGGCGCCCAGCTCCGTGTCCAGGCGCCCGCACAGGGATGGGTTTCATTTTTGGAGAAGGAAGGGGCGTCTCACAAAGGAGCCCTCACAAGGGGATTGCCCCTGGGTGGACGGTCCTTGCCTTCGTTAAAAAATGTTTCAGATTTAAAATGTGGATAACGGTTCCTCCGTCTGCCCCTGCGTGGGAGGCCGGCCGGGGGTGGGGGATGGGAGGATGGCAGCTGGGGGCTGGCGGCCGGGCCTCAGGTGTTGTGCGTTTGGACACGCGGGATGGAACCAGAATCACCTGGTGGTGCGTTTCCTGCGCTTTCAGCTCCCTCCAGGGGCTCCGCCTGTGTGTGTGTGTGTGGGGGGAGGGTGGGTGAGAGAGCTTTAGTTCTTCCTGAAACAAAACATTCAAACAGATTAACTTGTGACAATATAGTCAAAAGCTCTGGCTTCTGATGTTTCCTTCTGACCCTGCAATGCCCGCTGGTGAACGAGGGGTTTAGAAACGGTGCCAGCTCCTCAGCTAGAAACCAAGCATCTGGGCCACGTGAGCAAGGCGTGAGCTAGACCTTTCCGTGTGGAAAATCGGGTCCAGCTGATGGTGACATGGTTGTGAAGGGAACACAAGAGTCTGCTTGCTAAACATTTTAGGACACCTACTGCGTGCCAGGCACTGCGCATAAGTCACTCACTGCCTGCAGCAGCCTACTGCGGAGAGGTTAGAAATGTAACACAAGGGGCCATGTCAGTGCCGTGTGGTTGGTGTGAGATGGAAGGATGCAGAGCTCAGAAGGGGCATGAGGAGCAGGAACGTCTGGTGGACCAGCCTGAGGGCCAGGGGACAGGAGAGTCCTTGAAGAGGACACACAGGAGGATAAGCTGAAGGCTAAAGCCAGGCCAAGCTCCCTGACTCCCAAGGTCTGGTCCTTTTTTGAATCCTGGGCTCCCCTCCTCCTATGCCCAAATAGTCCAGTTCCCTTGTCTCTTTTACTCAAGTGTTTCTCAGCAAGGGTTCCCCAAACCCCCTGGAATAGCATTTCTTAAGGACTTTGTTTAAAATGTGGCTTCCAGGCCCCAGCCCCAGCAATGTTAATTGGTAGGTCCAGCGGAACCCAGAAATGACCCTTGTAACAAGTCCCTCAGGTGATTTTCATTGACTTTCCAGAAAGAAAGCTGATTAAAACCAGCCTGGGAATGGGAGGTTGGGAATGGATGGTGGGGGCCTGTGAGGGAGAAGGAATGACCTCTCTCCTTTATTGAGGTGTCTGCTGCCACCAACAGGGCACGATTAACTTCTTAGATGATCCTATCACATTCAATTAAGAATAAGTCATTTTTGCCCTGGCCAGTGTTGCTCAGTGATTAGAGCATCAGCTTTCCCACTGAAGGGTCTCAGGTTTAATTCCCAGTCAAGGGTTGCAGGTTCAATCCCCGGCCCCATTTGGGAGGCGACCAGTCCATGTATCTCTCTCACATTGATGTTTCTCCCACACCTCCCTCCTTCCCTTCTACTCTCTACAATCACTGGGAAAAGTATCCTCCCGTGAGAATTGACAAAGAATATATCATTCTTTTCTGCCATCATTAATGTTGTATTTCCTCTCACTGTCTGGCTGCCCTCCACCTGGGGGAAGTCAGAAAAGCAGAGTTGGGTCACCCATGGCCTGGGCACCATCTTGCCACCAAACATGAAAAGACACAGGGTCTAATTGTACAAAAGGCTTCACTCCAGGGCTTAGGGGATTGAAGACGTTGGCCTTTTCAAACACAAATCATTGAATTTGTTGGGTTTGGGCTATGATATTAACAAATTCAACATATTTTTACTGATTTCAGAGAGAGAAGGGAGAGGTGAGAGAGAGAGAAACATCAATGAGAGGGAAACATGGATCGGCTGCCTCCTGCATGTCCCCTACTGGGGATGGAGCCTGCAACCTGTGCATGAGCCCCAAACCGGAACCTAACTGGCGACTTCTTGATGTATGGGTCGATACCCAACCACTGAGCCACACCAGGTGGGCTAAGTTGTCTTTCTCTCGATATTCTTGGCTGGCTGTTGAGTTATTTTTAAAAAATACATGATATAGTTTCATTTGTTTAAATGCAATTTTGATTTAATGGTTACAAGGGAAATTGGCCTAAGAAAGCTTAGGAGAGAATGTCTTGATGTGTTTTGTTGTGAAGGTGTCATATTTGTGATGACGCTGGTGAAATCATCCTTGTCAGGCCACCTTCCAAGGAAGGTCAGGAAGGGAGACACTATTTATGGGAGAACAAGAGGTGTTGTTTTTAGGGTCCATGGGAGTATTTATTTCTGTCTTATTTGGTTACATTTCATCTTCATGATCTTCAGGGAAGTTCATATGCTCAAGCTTGTTTAGAGGGGAGGGTTTTTTCCATTTTCACTTTTTTTGTGTGTGTGTGCCTTAGTTTTCAGAGCCCAACTGTACACCACACTACCCTCCCTCTTAGCAAGAGCCACTTATACCCATATCTTTTTGTTCTCATGGATATGAGAATAACAGGACTAACAGAAACCGGTCTGATGCTACTGCGAGTAAACTGGATCATTGTTTTCGGGCTGTGTGGAATAGACCACATAATGAGGTTAAGGAAGTGGAATAAGCATTCTTTGCCCTTCCTCCTGGAGAAAAAGAATCAGAGGAAGGTGGCTGATGGAGAAAAAATTCAAAGCAGAAACACAGGATAAATTTGTTATTGTCCTACGTGCCACACCCAAGTGTAGGTGGAAGGTAACAGGTCATTGGACCAGAGAGGCAAGAATCTGGTTGTGAAAGTCAGGCAGACTTCTGAGCAGGCCCTGGGAGAGAAATCATTGTCACAGCAAACGGGGGAGGGAAGGCCCCAGGGAATCAGCAGGAGGCAAAGCGTCTCTCAAGCTGGGAGGGCCAAACCTTCAGGGACCAGGACATCCTGAGCCTGAAGAAGCGAAAGGCCAGATGACGTGATAAGCCTTTTTAAACACAAATAATTGAATTTGTCAGGCTTGGGCTAGGCCAGTGGTCGGCAAACTCATTAGTCAACAGAACCAGTTATCAACAGTACAACAATTGAAATTTCTTTTGAGAGCCGAAAACAGACTTCTGCGCATGGGCCACGAAGTTTCCATGCGCAGAATATTTCGTGGAAGAGCCACACTCAAGGGGCAAAGAGCTGCATGTGGCTCATGATCCGCAGTTTGCCGACCACTGGGATAGGCTATTAACAAATTCAAGTTGTCTTTTTTTTTTTTTTTTTAAACATGTTTTTATTGATTTCAGAGAGGAGAGGAGAGAGTGAGATAGAAACATCGGTGAGAGGGAAACACTGTGAGGATAAAGCCAATGGTGCCAGCGCCCAGGAGGCCTGCCCAGCAGCTTCCTTTGGGAATCCTGGCAGAGGGCGGCTTGAGGTCGGGGGAAGGGCATTGGAAACACCTGCCTCCATGGACACTGGCCTGGCCGAGAGACACAGGTTGTGGATTAATTAGCCTCAGAACTCCTAATTCCCGAAGACTCCTGGTTTTATGCTTTGAAAACAAGCATGTCAGACTTGCCATGTGCCTCTTTTATTTGGTCCATGTTAGCCTCTGAGTTTGACACGCTTGTTCTGGAAAATACTGACCACATTGAAGATATGGTTGCTGCTCCTTGGCGTTTTAGTCAGACTAATAATAACCTGGTTATTATTAAACACACCTTTGCTTGTGTTTCCTGATTAGAAAGCTCCTTGCCATCGCCCTCCCCTCCTGATGCACCTGTGCTTGGGAGGCAGCCTTCCTTCTCCCTGCTCTGCCCAGTCTTCTCCGGGATTGACAACCACTGGCAGTGCTAATCAGAGTATGAACTCAGGACCCCTCAAAACCTGGCTTCATCTGTGCCTGTGTCCCCTCCCCAGCCCTGCAGTCTCCTCACAGCCTCGGAGTTAGCTTCTCAGTCAGATGCCAGGCTCTGCCTCAGGGGCACAGATCTCTCCGTTTTATCTGCATGAAACATCTCCTTTTCCCTTTCATTTCTGTGAAGGTCTCATGCTTCAAAGCCCAACCCCCGACATTCCCCTCCCATGAAGGCGTCTTCCCCAGCAGAGCAGTGGCTCTGCCCACACCCTCCCTGCGTGTGTTTACGGTGACAGCACCTCGCCCTACACGGGCTGCCCTGGCCAGAGGTCCCAGCTGTGGCCACCAGGCACTGTCTCCTCATCTGACCAACACCAGCTCAGGGAAGCCTCAGAGCAACCCTAGGAGGGTCTGTTAGCCCCACTCACTGAAGAAAGTGGCCGAGAGAGAGCCCTGACAAGGTCACACAGCTGGTCCGTGGCACACCCTGGATCTGAACCCAGTTAGTCTGGTTCCCGCCCTTCCTCCGAACCACCAGGCCTGCATATCTGACTATGTTTGTGTCACCAGCCTGTATATCTGACTATGTTTGTGTCACCAGCCTGTATATCTGACTATGTTTGTGTCACCATCCTCCAGACCTTGGCAGTGTGATCTGCATGTTGTGAGTCAATGATTGTTCATTGCTCCCAAGTGATCACCATCTTGAGGAGTTAGGGCAGGGGGTTGGGCGCTGTGGCTGCACCAGGAAGAAGTGATGGGACATTTCTGAAGTGGGATGGGTGGTGACAGGAGCCTGCACAGGAGGTACAGTTGCGCAGGACTAACCATATACACATGCACACAATATAAGAGTAGGTCCAACTGCATGTGAATCTTCTATTACCTCAAAATCAATCAAACAAACAAAAAACCAGTGATCCCAGGGTTCTGACCACAAGTTCAGTTCTAGACTTGGATAAATTTAATTCACATAAATGACATTTTTGTACAGTAGCATTACTAACCTTTTGTTGACAGAATTATTGAAACAGATTTAAATTATCTTATTTCTTTCACAAGGCTGTAGATAGGCAAGCAGAGAAATTTGTAACTAATCTGCTTTCAAAATGAAACAAAAGCTATGTCTCCTTTATGATGAGAATGCAAATTTACTAGGAAATTGTTGGGAAATACATAATGATTAGAAAAGAAGAAAAGTAGTTTGCCATCAAATGACAATATCAGTTATTAACAGTTTGGCGTGTTTTCTCCAGTATGTTTGCCATTACTTGTGTTTTGGTTAATTAGTTCCACATAATTGTAACATACTCCTTCTGAAATTTTGAGCATTTCTCCCTTCAAATGTGCTATAAAAATACATCCCCCAAATGTACACACAGTGTACAAAATGTGCACTGTAACAGCTGATAGCTCACTTTTGAAAATGAAATGTGTTTTAATGAACAATGCCTTTACAATTATTCAAAATATGTGTATACATTTTGGGGGACACCCAATATTTCAGTCTTCAGAATGTATTGAGTGGCAGTGCCAGAATTTATTTTCAACCTGTTGGAAAAAACTAATTGAAAACTCTACATTTTTCAAAATTAAAAAGCAGATTTGAAATAGTTTTTTTTCTCTTACTTTTTTTTTTTTTTTTAATCAGTTGCCATTGGCGATTGGGCATGTGATTTTACAATCTCAGTCATGACACAGAACTAGGAGGCAGCAAAATGGATAGGGCCTGGGACGCTGTGATCACAAAGGTCAGCTGGGCAGCTTTAGCGACAGGAAGAGAACCCTGAGCAGGTGTCTTTGGAGGGCACTGTGACGGTGGCTTGGCTGATTTCCTGGTGTTCAGGGCAGGGTCAGGGGCTCCCAGGAGGATGTTCTGCCAGGAGACCTCCGTGCGTGGGAAGGGAGCTCTGAGCTCCCAGGACATGGACGTGTGTCCTCCTGTCCCTGTGACCCAGGTGCCCTCAGGTCTGGTGAACAGCATAGAAAGCAGTGTCCTGTCATGGTCAGCAGGCCTGTCGGTCCCCTTGCAGCTCCTCAGACATCAGGGTGACAATTCTAAGTCTTTGAAGATAACCTAACTCTGTCTTTAAATGTCTCCTGGTTCCCACCCCAAATATAAGCTCATACATGGCTGATAGCATAAAACCTGTGCCGCTCACGTAGAGAGCTTTGACACAGCTCTGGATGCCTCAATGTTTGGAACTCACTGAGCAAGGCTGGGTGCTCTGTCTGTCATTCTTCCTGGTCACGGGAGAAAACAGTCTGGGTGAGGGGATTCCAGGAGATGGAGGAGATAGTGGGATATAAACCAACAAATGCCCAAGGCCCTATAGAACCAGGTAGAGTACTGGGCGCCTTGTGAAGGAAGTTATGTGACTTTGAAAACGTGTGAGACTCCTGGACTACTGACCCTAAAGCCTGAGGGGAACTATCCACTTTCCCCACCGAAAACTTCCTTACCACGTGCCATTTGAAGCTGTCCGTCATGCAATTAGAGGATTTTTTCTAGACAAAAGCACTTGGTATGCAGTGACTTACAATGACTGAAATGTGGTTTTGCAACTTCTCTAGGTCCTAAATATTGGCTGCTTGCACATGAAAGGCTATCTGAGGAGGATGTGTACAGGGTGACCCCAATTGAGGAGGGGAAGGAGATTGCAGAGTGGATAGGACAGGGCAGAGGAGGATGAGTGATGCTCCAAACATCCTCCTATCTCAGTGCTTTGAAGTCACATGGTGTATTGGCCACTCATACTGTGTGGCCAGCACTGGCCGGTGGGACATTCTGCTTCATGTACTCGGGGACCCTGGTGACCATCTGGGTGACCTATTTCTATAAGGCTCACCCTGCTCTCCAGACCTTCTGGCAGAGCTGAGGGCCTGTCGGTGGCCTTAGCTTCGAAGTGACCTCCTCCCTTCTGCTCACATTCCTGGACCTGACCATGTGGCCCCCTATGAACTGCCAGGGTGCTGGGAAATGGGGGAGGAAGTGGGATATTTGGGAGCATCGCTACCTCTGCCTTAGCCTTCTCTCCTGGTCACCATGAACCCATTGGCTTCCTTCTTCCCAGCGCCCAGAGGCAATTGAAGTGTTCAGCTCGGTCACTGCACCTGGCACCGATGGCAGCTGAGTGCTGTGTGATAGTCAGGATATCGGGTTGGAATCTGGCTCCCCTCGGTCGGTCTGGAAGTCTAAGAGATAAGACAGCTTTTCTGCTGCGCAGGTAACAAGTGCACAAGGGTACAACGGGAGCAAGTTGACTGCAGTCGGCACTCACGTGTGTCCGGTCAGGAACCGGGGTCCTGTGTTTTTATAGCCTCTTCTCACCAGAAACGGGCTTTCCTTTCCTTCCATTTTCTGGCTTTTCCCCGCTGTCTGAGAAGTCTCACATCTCTAAACATAACCCCTCCCGCTGCATAATAAATCTGATTCTTCTATATTCTATGGGAACGAATACCCACCTGTTTGCGCTGTTAGCCACTCTGTCTGTCCGCCTGTCTCCATCGCTCTCTTCTACATGAATGCATTTTACTGGAATGTGCACTGAGCACATTTTCTGTGCACAGCACAACTCCAGGCTGCAGAGAAACACAGACGAAGATCCTTGGTTCTCAGTGGCACTCGGCACCTCCTGGAATTAGGTAGGAAAGAGATCACGCAAGAGCTCTTGCTGAGATTAATTCGCACTTTGTTTATTATATTTTTCCCTGTTCTTAGGCGATTAAGCCTTCTCATATTCCCTCAACTCAGGAATTTTTGCCGAGCGGAAAGCGGCTTGAAATCAAAGACTCTTCCTGCCTTTCTTAAAACACAAAGGACATTAAAGGGGCTAGTGGGAGGAAGAAGGCCAGGAGAAGGTGCCTTTGAAAGGAGCGAGCAGGGAGCTTGGCCAGCGGGGAAGAGGCTGGGGCAGGAACCGGCGCTGCTCTAGCAACATCCTAAAAAAGAAGGCCATGTGGCGTCTGGCTCAGTTTGCGTCTCGGGAGGCCCAGGGGAGCTACCACTCTGCAAATTTTACCCTTTTTAAAAAGGCTGTGTTTTTTTGTTTTGTTTTGTTTTTTCTTCCTCATGTTTCCAGCGCTCCTGCTGTGGGAATGCGCTAAGATGCGATGGGAAGTAAGTGGTGCTTTCACTTGGCTGGCCAGTGGGACATTCTGCTCTGTGTACGCAGGTCCCTGGCGACCATCTGGCTGAGCCATCGTTTGCAAAGCACACCCTGTTCCCCAGACCTTCCGGCGGGAGCAGTGAGGCCCTTCCAGAGGCTTTAGCTCAGAATTAACCTCATCCCTTTAGCTCACATTCTGTGAACCTGCAGTAGTGATATGCCAGGTCCGAGGGGACATCATTTTAATAGAGTGGACATTCTTAAGCTAGACACGTGACCGAGGTGGTCTGGGAGGTCAGGAAAGGAATGGCCAGCCTCGCACTTCAGTTTTCTTTCCTCAGTCCACGCCTCCTCATGTCTGTGGTACCGGGCTATTCCCAGTCCTCATTTCCAGCCCCATTTGGCCCTTCCCTCCCTGAGCATGCTGTCTCCATCTCACAGCTTCATATTGCTTTCTCTCCAGGACCTGAGACATTTATCACAGGTCTATTTTTGTCTCCAGTGTCCTCCAAATCTTATAAATGTAGGCAGAAGGGGAATTTATTGGAAAATATATGAGCTCAACGATTCAGGGGGGCGGGGGAGGGGTAAGCTGAAAAGACATATTTGGAAAATGGCTCGGAATCTGGACTCTAAGGAGGCCACGGGTGTGACTCATTTCTTAACTATTCCTGCATCTCTGAGCGTCTCCCTTAAGACACACAGTCCTGAGCAGAAGCATCTGATTGACCTGGTCTGGGAACAGCCCACCTCTAACAGCAGAGACAGGTGTCGCTGGCTTCTGTTTCCCATTGAGAGAAGTGGAACCCTGCTCCCATCCAGACCCACAGGGTAAGGGACCTTCCCCAGTAGGAATGCATTCGGAGGCCGAACATATCAACCTCCTCACGTGCCATCACCTGCCGGCGTTTTATCTGGAAATTCAGATCCCTCCAGAGCCTCTGCCTCTCATTCTAACTTCTCCTTCCTTTTCCAGGTGCGCTCAGAGCCCTCCCCTGGGAGGCTCCGTGGTGCTCTGAACGTGCACAGGATGCAAACTGGTCACTCCGTCCTTCTCCCTTCCTCACTCCCCTTTTCTCCAAAACTCACCCGAGGTACTAATTACAAATGCAGAGTCCCTCCATTCGCTTCCCTCCCCCACAGCCCCGATTCTGTGCTTCTGGAGTGGGGCCCAGAAAGCAGGTAGCTCAGGTGACTTTGGCAATGGCAATGGCTGTTCTCTTTTGAGAAACAAGGTTCTCACCTGTTTTGAACTCCGGCCAACTCCTTCTCCATAATCTCTCTCAAATCTTTCCTTCTCTTTCCCCCACAAACAAATGTCTTCGCTGTTGCGATCTTTCTCCATTACTGGCTTCATTATCTATCCGTCTCAACATCCCAGGACAGAACATCTCACAGACATCTCTGCAGTGGTGGCATCAGGGAGGTGGAGGGAAATCGCTTTATACCTTCTGCTTCCCCGAGAGTTAGCTGCATTTCCAGAGACTGGGCTCCGTGGCTGCTCTGGGGGATCCTGTGCCAGATGCTTGGAAAGGCCCGGGCACAGAATGGATGCTGGTTGTACCCCTGGCTGTAATCCTCTTTGGGCTTCTCTGTTCCTGCGTCCCCATACTCCCACCTCACCCCCAGTGGCCCTTCTCCCAGGCACCTGCCCTTGGTCATCAGAGTGACCTCCAGGCTATTCTGCAAAGGGCGTGACCTACGGTGAACTCCATCCCCTCCTTTGGGGACATTATGGCGAGGCCCTTAGCATTCCCTTCAGACACCTTCCTTTTTAACCATAACGGTGAGTTCAAAGGCCTTGTTTTAATTCACGTAAAATTATTTGGAGAATTCTCTCCTTATTCACTTTCTGGCACAGAAGCTCTTCACGTCCTCTCTTCCCAGCAATCAAAGGGTTAGAACAAGAAGGCTGCCCACTCCACACTGACAGCTTCTTTTAATATCAAGAGGAGAGGATTATACAACTTCTTTTATGTCTTATTCTTTACTAGTATATATTAATATATTAATAGTTTTACCTTTTCTCACCTTGAAGTTTTTTTTTGAGGTTTTACTTTAGAAGTTGAAAAGGGAGATCCCAGTTTCTTTGATTCTCTGACCTGTTGTGGAAGATCACTAGCAGCGACGATGAGACAGCATCTTTGTCTGGGCCTCGGGTCAGAGATGGGCCGTAGCCTAGGCGAAGGCTCACTGCTGAGAAGCGGGGTGCTCCCTGCCCTGCCCTGGCGCTAGGAGAGCCTTGTCCTGAGACACGTGCAGCATCACCACTTGCTTCTGTGCAGGGAAGCACTCTGCTCCCTCATCCAACCAGGAGACTAGCCATCCAGCCCGTGGCTCAGGGCAGAAGCTGATAAATTCAGAAACTCACCCCAAAGTGCTTCCAACTTACCTAGTCATTGTGGCACCCACGGACCTAGGTTCATACACCCAGATAAGTGAGAAATAGCTTATTTCTTTACGTTCTCTGAGTTATTCTAATTTTTGATGCTAAACAACTGTGTCTCTAGGCTTCGCACAAATCCAACACGTCACTCTAAGGGCTTCTCCACGGCCCTGGGCTGAGAGAGGGGAGACTCCCTGGTTTCTGTCATCCGCGTATATCATCGCCGAGATAGTGTTCCTGTCTGTCTGCACCCCCACTCCCACAGCTCCCCTTCACGAGAGCTCTCTGCATGGAGAAAGGAATCTCCAGCTTCTCTGAGGTCCCCTCACCCAGTCCCCCCGCCCCAGCACAGGGGCAGCCTTTTCTGCTCGGATGAGGCTCCTTCCTATTGTCGCCTCTTCTGTCCACTCAACCCCTCAAACCTTGTTCTTAGCCTGAATGATTCTCAACCAAAATGTTAGTTTACTTTTCCCTGCAAATAGGGAGGACAGGGCCCCCAAAGTGGTGGG